AAGGTTATGCAATTACGTATGTTGGTTTGCTGCCCGGATCAAAAAATTAAAATGTATTGCAGTTGAGAGAAATTCAACATGTTTTCTTTTAGGCATTTACCCGTGTGAGATGTGACTGCTGCAGCTTAGAGTACAAATCGCGGCAAGTACTCTCACTATTCACTTGCCCCTTGAACGATTCCGTAGGAAGAGCATTAAGAGCGTAGATAATTTTATCATCCACATCGCGCATCTTTTTTAGCGCCTCCTATTATCAATGGCAGAATTGTGTCCAGTTGTTGTGCAACTTATAATTATATGCTGCGACTTACTTGAAAGCCCAAAAAGTCAAAGCACGAAACAGCCATCGAAAATATTTAATTTCAGTAGAATTTATTAAATTAATAAAATAAAAACAAAAATATGCCGGCGCAATGTGCGTTTTGAAAGCGTTGCCACATTATTCAAGTTAAATATCACAATTGCCGATATTTTCTTGATAATAGATTGTATAAATTAATGAGTGACTTTTCCTGATCAGTCGTTTTGCTTTTTGCAGTTTTTTTTTTGTTAAATTTTTTTTAATTAGTTTATTTGCTTAACAGTAATGTTAGTATATATAAATAACAGTAACGTAATCGACAGTAACATTCGATAGTGGCATGCAAATTGCATTCGATGTTTACCATCTCTATATAGACAAGCCATTAGTAAAAACAATCACAACAAATTTATCAAAATAACAAACAAGGGTAATTCTACTCATGGCTGCCAAGCACGAAGATATACGTGATAAAATTGAAAATGGCATCTACAAACTTGCTACAAATGATAAAAGCACACGCAGCACTGTATGGCGCGTGTATCGAAAGATTGAGAAAGAAGACGGCAAAATATTGGAACACGTCTTGTACTGTATAGGATGCAAAAATCTTATGTCGTTCACCCATAAATCCACAACAAATTTGCGCCGCCACAAGTGCCATTTGCAATACTTAAAAAAGCAGGCCTACTGTAATGGATATGCAGACGCAAATATCTCAAAGGAATGGTTCAAAGATGATGAGGCAGAAATGTCAGTGGAAGACATTTTGATGGAGGCGGAGGCCGAGCTTAAAGTTGACAACGAAGAGAGTTCTGGGGCGCAAACAATGATTGACGAGCTAGATAAGAAACCCACATCAACAGACGTCGCTGCATTTATTGCTCTCCGAGGTGCTGGCGCTGGAGCTGAGCCTAGTGATGCTGGCGTTAACACTGGGGTTCTTGTCCAGCAAGCTAAAAGCGATGATGATCCACTTAATGTTGGTATTACGACCATTCCAAACTCAAATTCACGTCTCTCTGAAGTTTTTGTGTCCCACGATGTTAGTGGGGCGGAGGAGTCGGCAATATACGCACAGACATGGTCTTTAGAATACCGCAAGCTTACCGAAGATCAAAAATTCTATGCCAAAAGAGCGATTGACGAGATCTTTGTGCTGGGCCGGTTAAGACGTTTAACGTTAAACACTGTGCCATCGGTAACCGAGTGAAATTTTACAATATTTTTATGCTTAGGCTAATTTAAATTAAACTTCTCTTATGTGTATGTAAATAATGTATATATTTATTCGATCAACTCTGTGGTCTCGGTTGTTAGGAAGTTAATAAATATAGAAAATAGTCTTGGAAAGACTATTCTTTCCCACCTAACGAAGCCAAAATTAGAAATATAAAACTAGAATTTACTAAAGCTTACAACTGTTTTTTAATGAACATTTTTGTAGGTTGTGTATTTTCTGATATCGATATAAGTATCGGTCTTTATAGAGACGCTACATAGAAGAAAGTTTTTTGTTTCAATATGAAAGTGCATATTTCCAATTAGACTTGCATTGCCAATGCACAAATATTTTATGTTATGCTTAGCATACGTTGGGAAACTGTTATAGCTCTGTTATCAATTGTTAAGTCACTTTATCAGTTATTTAACGCAAATTTACCCTTCAAAGTACTGAGTTATTAAGTAAACATATGTATAAGAAGAACTTCTCGTTCAATCGATTAAAATATGAATTCGAGTGCGAAATGTCCAACGGCAGTTAAAAACAAAGTGCCCATTGCTATCGGAATTTAACATAATGTTAAGTTTCCGGGGGCCATATGTTGTTTTTTTTTTGCCTTCGACAAGCCAACAAGTACTGTAGCGGGCATCATAAAGCTGTTGACGATTCATTAATTAAAAGCAAACAGGTGTACGGATATTAAAATGACGAGCCGAGCTTCAATACATGCACAACGTAAACTCAGTGGCTCCGGCTCTCCTACAGCAAATTTATTGAGTCAAAGCGATATCCAAGGTGCACGCAGTGTCTACTATCGGGAGGCAAATAACTCAAGTGACGATGAGAACGAAGTTCTTGAATCAGATGAGACGCCGGATCACGAACAATTGCCGACGACGGATACAGACGAGGACGATTCACTGCAGCAAAGTCGCCCTTTGCCAGCAACAACACCCAATCGATCAGTTACAGCTCCAACGAGGGTAGAGAGCCAGCCGCTTGCTAAACCTGCAAACATTCAGCCGTCAAAATCACAATTCAAATTAATACCATATGCTATTATTATTATATTGCCATTATTTGCATGCTCGCGATTGCTTAAATCGGAGCCTCAAGTGAAACGCTGTGCGTTTGAGGATTTGCGGCAACGTCCGCCGTTGCAGTCAGAGGATGTGTGGAAAGCGCTCAGCATCAATATTGAATTGCTGCTAAACAAGAAGATTAAGTCTCCCAATGTTTACCTATTTCTGCACTCGAATCAGAGCAGCGAAATTCCAATTCAAAAACTAATCAACGATATTGCCGTGGAAACATCCAAATGTTTTGGTAAGTTTAATTCAGCTATAGCCTTAATCCACCTACCAAATGCACAGTTTCCCATTTTTAATTCATAGATGGGCAGCGACCCATAGAAATGAGCCTTAAGGATTTCGAAACCCAGAATGGAGATGACTACGGCTATCCTATTGAACAGTACAAAAAGAAACTCAGAGAGGGCAACGTTTTTCTTATTGTAAATCTCAACGATGTAAGTAGACCCTTCATCATTTTGCAGGCATTTTTATTTTTCTATTGTTCTTCTGATATCATTTGCAGATTCCACCAAATTCAGCACGCGCTCTTCACACCATTTGCGACACTTACAGTCCCATTGCGCCGGACGTGGTCATCTTTATGACTCTGCGCACACACATTAAAACCGCTGTCGGGAGTCCTGCACAAATTGCCTATAAGACACTGCAAGAACTCTGGAAACAAGTGCCGGATAATGAATTGGATGCATTGATAACACGTGTTATTGATCAGGTGTTGCTGTTACAAAGCTAAGCTTAGGAATATATTTTTGCACAAATTTATTTGAAAAACAATTGTCTATAATTTACAGCTGCATTTAGACTAGTATTTACAATCTTTCCACCTGAACACACCACAATTCGCCCACAAATGCCAGCAGGCTACAGGTCATGCCGAAGCACCACAGCAGGACGAGCCCAATAAAATTATCAATGCCAAGTTCAACGGGTCCAATATCAAGGTTAGGTCTTTGGGAGGCCACAATGCGATTCTGTCTATGCGAATTCATATACTCAGCCGCGATCCGCCATTCCCAGTACTTGTCAAAGCCCGACGAATGCCAGGCGAGTATGAAATCATTGTGGATGCTAGATAAGGGCCACAAACGTGGCACATAGGCAGCCGTGTAGGCGAAGTATATATCATCTACCATTAACTTAAGGCGAGGTAGGGCATCGTCAGGAATCATCTCAGCGTTGGCCAAGTGACCAAACTGCATTCTCTCAACCACAAAGCCCATCTGTTCGGTTCGCGATTTAGCGGCCATAGTAGCCGCATCATTTACACGATAATTCTCCATTAATCCCAGTAAAACGGGCTGAAAATGACAAAAAGAAATTTCACTAGGAAATGGAGAGAGAAATCCATAAGACCGTCGCTTACATCTACGTTTTCGGCATCAATAGTGGCAATCCAGGCGTGAGATGTTGCCGTCCAGATCAGCTTGTGCTCATAGAGACGTTGTCGCGAATCGGCAGCTTCCTCAAGTTTTGGCAAGGTCAGTATAGCGGCAAGTCCTCCTCCATAAACAGTGGTCAGGATTATGTCGATCATGTAGCTCGCCAGCAAGACGGTGCGTAGAGAATACGATGTCGCCACATAATTGGTGCTCTGGTTCACAAATAGCTTAAGCGTGCTGACACAACCGAAGCGCAGACTCTGACGCCAGCGCGATTGGATGGCATTTGTTTTTGGTGGCGGCTCACATTGACGCGTGCCGGCCAGAGCTAGGCACTCCAAGATGAGGCAAAATAGTACGCATAACCACAGAGTGCCTTGGAATGGGCGCAGAGGTAAAGCCCAGTTAATCATTCTATGCGGAGCAGGTACTAGACAAGTGACACCGGAACGTCCCAAAAAATGTGTCATATCCATTTGTTGATAGGCATCATACCAGACATACATGCCGCCAATCCCATAATCAATGGTTCTCTCCATCACCATTCCCATTAATCCAAAACCTGTAGCATTTGCATAGATATCGCCCCATTCGGACTTTTCAGCTGTTGATAATATGATAATCCTAATTTATTTAACTTATTTAAATGATTTTAATGACAAATCACAGTATACGGGTATAAGCGATCAAATGAGAGTATGAGAACCGCGGAGAAGAGCAACATTTAAGAATACGTACGTGAATAATGTATTGTGAATGTGTTGAATGTATGTGCATCATGTATATATATACTTATACAAAATGTATGTATAGATAGGTATACATGTAGATTTTTGATTTATTTGCCCCGTTTTATTTAGGCGAAAACACACCATAGCTCCTATCGTTGGTCTGTAAATATTTCCGAAGCTTATATTTGAAATTTCGATATTCTTAAATTTCGATAACGTGCAGAGTAGTCGGCAATGCAGAAGGTTCTCGATTCACTCATTTGAGAAAAAGTTTTGGCAACCCTGGACTAAGAACCAGCTGACCGTGTTGAATCCTATTTCGAGCGAGTTCGAAATTGCGGGTTACCAAAAGGATATAAGAACAATTAAAGCTTGTCAAGAGCACTTGCAGATATGTCAAGCATGGCAGACGTTTGTCGCTCTTGTTTCAAAAGTTCAGACATGCTCGTGGACATATTTGCTGAGCGGCATGAGGATGAGCCCAGTTTGGCCACAATGCTAAGTCAATGCGGAGATTGCGAGGTGAAGTGCGATGATGCACTGCCCAAGCAGCTGTGCCTCGACTGTGCCATGGCCACAAAGAATGCGTTCAGATTAAGGCGCAGCCTGCTAAGCTCGGATAGTGGTGTGTATATGGAAGCAGCTGAGGCATATGGGATACTCGAGGACAGCGACATAGACTTGGCTCATCTTAATTTAGAGTCTATGCTGGAAATGAGCACGGATGCCGGCAACATTATAGCAGTAAGCAGCGAAGAGGACAACCGAGAAAATCGTACCCCAACTCCCGATGACATGACCACATCGCAACGCTATCCGATTCGTAAGCGCAAGCGCAAACGCTACGCCAGCGAGGAGCGTTATTCCAGCGAAGCACGAAATTCGAGCGATGAGTCTTATTCCGGCGAGGAACATGTTTCAAGCGAGGAAGAGAACTGTTCGTCAAGTATTTCGTCTTCCCCATCTGAGAAGTTGGCCACGCCACGCACGCAGAAGAACGAAAAGAAACCTAATTTTCGAAACAAAGAGCGTCCCTGCAAGTGTCCTTATCCTCGCTGCACGGCTGATTTTATGTCCACCAAGGGTTTGAATGCCCATATGAGACGACATGGAAAACGTACCCACATTTGCGACAGCTGTCCAAAGGCATTTGTCAGAAAATATGATCTCGATGAGCATAAGCGCATCCACACTGGCGAACGACCCTTCAAATGTCCTCACTGTCCGCAGAGCTTTACATGGAACAACGTGCTCAGGCTGCACGTCCGCACGCACACGGGCGAACGTCCCTTCCAGTGTGCCAACTGCCCGAAAAGCTTTGCCTCCAGCCACTCTCTGAACGAACACAGTCGCGTCCACACCAAGGACTGTCCCTTCGTGTGTCCCCACTGCCCGAGTTCATTTAGGCACAACAAGACCCTCAAGAGACATATTCTGGGACACACTAAAGATCTACCAGCATAAAATGAATGTAACCAAATACAAACAAGTACAAATAACTAATTTGTTAGTTAGTTTTAAGGTTGAAATGAATTTATATTATTATCTGAATAAGACGGATGTCCCGTGTTTTAAAAGATTAAGGAACTAATATTGCATCGAAGCTTAGATATAAAACTTGAATTGAATTCATATGATTTTTGTGTGAACGAAACTGATTCTTATGTTTCGGTTTTAGGTATGGCATGAAAATATTTTACTGTATTTTTTTTTTTTATTATTGAATGATTAATAATTATTACTTAAGCACCTATTAAAAAATTCATAATTTGAGCTCATGTGTTAATTTTATTTTTAAACTTCAATTTAATTGTTATGATTTATTCATTTTGTCATGAAATGTGTAGAAGGACATATCTTCCATCCCAAAAGTATATATTTAGTCTTGATAAGCATCCACAGCCGAGTCGATACAGCCATGTCCGTCTGTCTCATAATTTAAAAAGAGTATTCAGTCTTCGGCGTGTCAAACATAAATAATTTTTTACTCGATCTAATCTTATCAATTTAAAAACTAATTCGAATTGGAAAAACTACATTTAATTGGAGTTTTTAAAATAAAGGATTGGATCCGAGATCTATTGATTGAAATATTGCCCATTAATATTTCATATTTCGCTTGATATTTTCATAACATTTTTTTTACCATTAAGTTTGATACTCACTTGTATCCAATAATAAAGGATTGGATCTGAGATCTTATTGACTGAAATATTGCCTATTAATATTTCATATTTAGCTTGATATTTTAATGATATTTTGTTTACCATTAAGTTTGATAGTCACTTGTATCTTGTATTTTTTTTACCATTAAGTTTCATACTCACTTGTATCCAATAATAAAGGATTGGATCTGAGATCTTATTGACTGAAATATTGCCTATTAATATTTCATATTTAGCTTGATATTTTCATGATATTTTTTTTACCATTAAGTTTGATAGTCACTTGTATCTTGTATTTTTTTACCATTAAGTTTGATAGTCACTTGTATCTTGTATTTTTTTACCATTAAGCTTGATACTCACTTGTATCCAATTGCACCGTGCAGTTGTAGAGCTCGCAAAAGGTTCGCACAACTCGAACTTCGGTGCCATCTGCAAAAGCCTCCGCTCTATTTGAGGCACGATCGTAAAGCGCTGGTTGCTTAAGCTGGCGAGAACAAACAAAAAAAACAACCAACATATGATTATATATTATATTATATTATATTTTTATACATACATAGTCCAGCAGCATAAATGGTTCGTAATTGAATAATCCCAAAATGATTTCACGGCCTTCTAAATTTCGCATTTTTTCCGAAATATCTGTCTCGCTATCCCATGTTACTTTCCCAAGTTTGGCATCGTAAAACTGCATGGTATAAAAGGCGGCTGGCATTGCTTTAGCCCCAAAATATCGGGGACCAACAAAGCGATTGGTCTTAATCTCAAAGACGCTTGCGTTCAGAAATTGTGCGGTGACCAAAAGAACGTTGGGTTGATCTTTGAGAGCCAAAACTGAATAATATTTGGAAAGTGAAAGTGAGGCTTGAGTGGCTTACCGTGAAATAGGTAGCCATCCATATAACTATCAGATTCAGTAGATTCCTCCAGCAGTTCATCGGTATACACAAAAATAAAACGATTTTTGATTGAACGCCAAATCGAATAAGTGCTGGCATTATAGAACCAACGAGCAAACATTGGTATTTGCTCCTGAAATGCTATGAAACTCTGTAATTGCAGTAAATATACTTTAATATTCGATAATATACTTATATTCAGTGGATTGGTTGTTTAAATTTGAATATTTAAGCTTAACACATTTTATTGCGGGCTTACAGCGTTTCACTGGCGTAAGTGTTGGCTAACACATTTGTATGCACTGGCCTTAATTTGACAATTTCATGTATTTCAGCGAACTGGCAACCCTGCCAGCCAAAAACAAGAAAACTTGGGCTACACCAATAACAACACACGAATGTAAGCAATGCAAAAACTTGGCCTAGCTTGTCCGCTGGGATTCCTTGCCAGCAAACCGCAGCGGCATAAAACAAATATTTTAAATTTAAACTACGACTGCTTCGTGGCGATATTTTCATATCTTACTGCGCTCGAGGACAAGTTAAATTTGGCCAGAGCGCACCCGCAGTTTCGCGAAGTGTTGACGCGGGAGGCACCGCGTCGCTATGCCAAAATAAATATGCGATTGCTTCGATGCATTTCCGATTGGGATTTTCTATTAAAGTTGTGTGGCGATTGTGTTGTCGAGTGTGAGCTACGCCATGGACGGTGGGACGATAATATCACTCAACCGTTTCTGACACTTTTGAATGCATACTGCAAAAATTTGCGGCATTTGCACCTGATATTCGCGCACTCCAATATAAAGCCGCCGGCAGAGAGCGGAGATCTTAACATATTGCAAATGATTCAAAGAAAAGATCTGCAAAGCGTGAGCCTAATCGATGCAAAGGCTGCTGAAGGTGATTTTTAAAAATGTACTCGAGTTCGTGAGAATCGCAGTCATAGATAGTTTTATAATCTGTTGCAGTGCTGCAGCTGCGAAACTTTACCGAACTGGAAGCGCTGCATATTGATGGCTTTGATGTTGATTTGACTGATGCGAATTTCATTGAGCTGTTCCAGGCGCTGTCACAGTTGCGCAGGCTTTCGCTGCGATTCGCTTGGAGGCGACAGCTGCCGCCCTTGGCCGACTATTGCCCCCAGCTGGAGCATTTGTCGCTGGAGAACTTCGAAGGCACGCTAGACGACGTGGGCGATTTTCCGCGACTTAAGTCGTTGCGTCTGCTTTGGCGCTTGTCCGTACACTTGAATAGTCAGCTCTTTCGATCGTTGGCCAAACGCTATGGGGATCGTTTGGAGCAGCTGCAGCTGACCAAAGTGAATCCAGAGCACGTGGAGCACATAATATCGTTGCAAAGTCTGAAGGCACTCGCCTGTCACATGTGGCCCAGCGAAACGCTGAAGCACTTAGGGAAATTGCAGCAACTCGAGTGTCTGGGCCTGCAGTGCAGTGAACCTATAGCTAGCATAATGCAGCTGCTGGACGTAATTAGCAACTGCTCGAAACTGCAGCACTTGAAGCTAAGCAAGCACTGGCAGGAACAGGAGCTGGACCGCTTTCTATACGCCGTACAGGAGGAGCTGCGCAAACAGGCAGCAAACGGAAGGCGTGAGAAACTTATGCTAACGCTGGAGCTGCCAGCATCAACAGCGGCTCAGAACCAGGTTTTTTTTAGCGACAGTTCCATTTCTTTTATAATTCTTATATTTGCCCTCTTCTAATTTCAGTTAAAGCAAAATTTAAACTCGCAATTGTTACAATTGGACTGGCTGGGCGTTGCATGCCCTCTGTGTATGCCAGATCGACACACGAAGCAATCTATTCCAGGATTAATTTGGTTCTGAACTCACCTCGCAATTAGTCTGTTCAATGGCAACGGTAAGTCTCAAGATCCAATCGTTGTACGCCAAGCTGTTCTCCTCGAATTCGGCACGTTTCCGTTCATAATCATAGAAGTCCTTATCCTGTTCCAAGCTAAACCATTTCTGTGGCTCCAGATTCAGCACCGCAAGTGGGTCGCTTGTTTCCAGTTGTATATCAAACGAGGAGTGCCATAATATGCACGTGGCATGCGAGTCCATAAAATATTGCTGTGCTATAGTACAGTTTTTCTCATCAAAGGATTCTTATTTATCCAAGCAAAACTCACCGAGAAACGTTAAAACTTTGGACCAATAATTGGCATCCACCAACATGTCTGACATGTCGTCTAGTTCTGTGTTGTATGATTCCTCAATGTAGTTTTATATATTGAATTTTGTCTTCGAAGGACCTTTGTTAATTGCATATCAATAATGTAATTTTCTGTTTTATACTTGCAATTCTACTTGCAATCACGAGGATTGTTGCTATTAAATAATTGCTTATCAAATATTTAGCATCCATTTATAAACAAAAACCTATCCAACTATGCACACATATTTAAATTTATATTTACGCGCGCAAAGATAAACGCATTTTATGAAGGTTTAATAAACCCATATCCTAACTAGAATGAAGAACTATTTTAAATCGAGTCGGGAGTGATCGACTAGGAGATACCCTAAACCAAGCGATGCCTTTAAAAAGAATTCAAGCCTTATATCAGAAACAGAAGCAAGCACGGACGCCGGGGCAAGCTAACGAGGATTAAAAAAAATCACATCTGGGTCAATAACGGGATTAAGATATAGAGTATATAGCTTTGTGCCCTTCCTTCCACCTGTCAAATTGATAAGCTTTAATCTCTTATACCTGAAGGAGATCTTTAATATGGTTTCCCTCAGGTATAGCCGACTAAGAGATCCATTGAAAAACTACATAGATAAATTGTATTCGAATCAATATAAAATTGAATTAGCTTGTTTATTTTAATGAATATTGTATTTGATTGTGACACCTTCCCCTGGATTCACAATTTATTATACCAAAAAGCCAAAGCGGAAATGAATCCTCTATCATTTCATAATTGGTTTTAAAATGTCAAGCTTTATTAAATACATATCTATTTAAAAGAATAAACAAAATTGAAGTCAAAACGTTAGATTTAGCAAGCGCAGTTTTCATTGAACTCAAGAAAATTGTTTTTTGTATTAAAATTGTGATAGATAGTAACACATTTGTATTTTTCAACCTCACTTTTGTAAATTGTAAAGTAACAAAGTATTTATATAATTAATAAGCAGCTCTCGTAAGTGGGGAGGTTCAATTTGTGTGCCAAGATAATTTGACTTATTAAGTGCATGCACAGAAATTCCAAAGATATTAAACTGTTCAAATATTTATTGAAATAAATATATATATATATGTATGTGTGGTAACCATTATCAGTAAACATATTTCCATTTGTATTAAATGTGTATTAGAATTAATTACAAACTAAACAGAAAATATAGCAGGTATAAAGCGTGGGGATTTGATTGCTAAGACTTTCGTGCTGGTACAGTAAAAACAGTTTTTGCGTGCGTTCAATGCTTTGGATCTCTGTTCGTTCGAGTCACGTTCCTCATTCAAATGGCTGTCTTTCACCGTGGATTATCTTAACAAAGTATAATGTTTGAACTAATTTCGCGCGGGGCTTAAGCCTTGACGGTGGCACCGCCGCTGCCCAGGGACTTCATCAGTTGATAGCATTCCTTCAGCTTACGCTTGTCGCCTACTTTCTCTAGCGTTTTGGCCGCCTCGGCCAGCAGGCCAGCACGTTCACCGGGCGAACTTAACAGCGCAGGCGGCAGATACTTACAGGCCACATACATGGCGGCCGCACGCTCCCGCTCGCCGCCTTCAAAGTTCTGATGCTTGCGATCCTTGCTGCCGCAAAAGATGGATGAGTGAGCATTGCGTGAGCGTAGACTTCTGTCCAGCAGCTGCTGCGTTGGGCACGGTGACGCGCCGGCCATCAAGCGACAAACCGCCTCATACAAATAAATCCGCGACTGTGCGTTCTGCGAAAATATTAAAATTGGTCTTAGATAGCCGCCGGGCTGACTTGTTTAATTTAGCTTACCGGTATATTCTCTACAATGCTGCGCAATGAGTTCAAATCTGTTTGGAACTTTTCAAGCACATCCCCGGTGACCTGATAGTAGCCATCATCATCGATGCCCATGTGCTCCAGTTCCCACAATGCCGTGCGCGTCTCCAGTAACCAATCGCAGGTCAGCAACTGGAAAAGCTAAATAAATGTTTTTAATTAGACATCTTTGTGGCTTTCTGCAGGTAACCTCCCCAACAGCATCCGACGTTGCGTGTGAACTGCACGGAGCTTGCACTGCAGTTGTATTGCCGCGGGCAAATTTGAGACAGACAATGCGACTACAATGCACCTCCGTAACAGCTCCAGAGATGTCGTATCCTGGCTTTAATGTGGGAGTGCTTCAGCTTACCAGTTTGATGCCTTTGGCATTGGTGATGCGATTAACCGTGAGGCATTCCTGCAACTGGGCACTTGACTCATCGCAGAGCCGGTTGATCGAATGCTTTAGTCGTTTGTCCAAAGCGTTGCCATTATTCCTGAAACGGAAAGATTTGTGAATATTGATAACATGTGTAGATTTTAGAATGAACCACATACATGAGCAATATCATCTTGGCTCGCAGCACCGCATGCAGTGCTTTGGGCAGATGATCATTGTCGCTGCTCTGCTGCAGTTGAGCCGGTAGCTGTTTGATGCTATCGTACAGCTTCTCCGCCAGTGCGTCCTCGCCCAAGAGCCAGTGTACAGCAATCTCCAGGACATTGGCCCACCAGACAACGTTGGTGTCACGCTCATCCTCGTCGGCCCACAGCGTATCCCTCAACAGCGAGGTGTACTTGAGCACATTGCTCACAATGGTGCCGCTGTGCTGCTGCTGCAGCTGCTCCGCCTCGCTGCCAGTATGGTTGCTGTTGTTGTTAGGTGCGGACTTGTTTGGTTTGTGTGAGCCGGCGCCTACCAGACACTGAATGGCCTTGTGCAGCAAGTGCTCGCGATATTGCTGTGAATTGTAAGCAGAGCATTAATAAATCACCTCCAAGTTAAGCTTGCAGCTGCTTGTTTACCTTGATGGCATGTGCGGCCGGATCGCAGGGATTGCGCAAACGTGTAAAGAAACCATCCTGTTCGCCGGCGTTGAGCTCATAGTCAAACACATGAGCGCTGCAGTAACCATAGCCATAGGTAGTAAACGCCCAACGCAGCTCTTGGGTTTGCTCTGCGGCACGTGTGCGTCCACATTCTTGGCGTGCTCGACTCATGTAGTAGCGGGCGCAGAGCTGCTGCAGCCATTTGGGTGCACTGCGCTTCATCCTCAGCGCTGCCATCACATGAATGCAAATGGTCTCGCGCGGCGTTAGCAAATTCTGTGCCACCTCGGCCATGTTGCTGGCGCATAGAGCCAGCATGATGCCATTGCGATCACTGCTGCGGTCACCGGTCAAATGCAGTTGATTCAGGCGATTAAATAGCAGCGCCAGCTCCCGGGCCGAGGATAAAGCACGCTTGCGTGTCGTAGAATTGCAAAATAGTCCGCCGGCGCGACGCGACAGCACACGACCCAGCCAGAGACGATGGAAGAGAAAGCGCAAAAACTGCCAGAAGGTCTGCAGATAGCATTCAAGACGGGACGTCGGCAGGCTCAGGCCGTACATGTGCAGACAGTTCAGATAACCGGTATAGGCCTGTGCAGCCTGGCCCTGGGCAAAGTGCGCTTCGGCGCGTTTCTTGTGCTGATAGTAGGCATCCGTTTGGGTATCCAGCTGAGGATCACCGTATACCAATAGTTTGACCAGACAGCCGAGCATCAGAAGCAAATTCAATAGCCAGAGCCACGAGCTGTGCTGCCAGCCAATGTTGTCCGTATTATCTGAAAGAGAGAAGGCATTTGTTAATTAACTATATATTCCTTTCAAGAGGAACTTACCATCGTAAGCCAGAATGCTGCGTCGTTGACGGCTCAGCTCGCCACCCAGATCGTCGGCATCAAAATCGTCGGCGCCGAATTGACTGCGTTGCAGTAGCGCCTTGAAGGGATTTACGGCCAGCACAGCAAACATAAACATGCATAGGGCCAGCCGGGAGTGGGTGGCCATGCCACGCATGGAGCTGGGCACCACCAGCAGCTCTTCCTTGCTGCTGCCGCTGCTGCAGCTGGCCGTGGAGCCACCGTATGGTGATGGTGGCAGCGAAATGTCCGAATGCAGCGGTGATGACGATGGATCCGACATATCGCTGCGTGGCGGCGTCAGACCCGCATCCGTATCGCAGGCCAGCGATTGCTGGCGACGCTTCTTGGAGGTGGAGCCCACAATAGTGCTGCTGCTGTTGCCCAACTGCAGCAGATCCTTCACCTTGGAGCCGTCGCGTGCCATCAGCTCACGCTGCAGTCGCTGCAGCTCCGACTTGAGTTCATAGTTCTGGCGCTGCAGATCCCGTATCTTGTCAATAGATTTGCGCAGCACCGCCGACTTGTTCAGCTTGGCCGCATCGCCCACGACGAGATTTTTGAGCTCAATAATCTTGTCGTTTATAGAAGTGCGATAACGACGCTCGATCGCATTGTGCGCCGAGCGCTTCACCTCCTTCACCTTGGGCTGCACACGCTGAATAGCGATTTTGGCAGCCGGGGCTGCAGCTGCTGCTGCTGCGGGCGTTGGTGTTGGCGCCAGCTCGACGGGCGCTAACTTGGGCGTCGCCTTTGGACTGGCGGCCGCTGGCACCGTCTCGATCAGCACAGGCATGGGCGCAGCTGTCAGTATGGTTGCATTGCTGGCGGTATACATCAGAGTGGTGGCCGGATTGACGGCGGGCGCTTGTAGCAGAAAACTCTGCTTTCCAGTCGCCAACATGGCCGGCATCTTCTTGCTGGCATAATGGGGCGCCTTTTTGGTCGCAGCCGTTGCTGCTGCCGGCGGTGACGGTGACGAGGTTTCAGCTGGCAGCTGGTACACAAAGTCATTGTTGCACGACGTCGTTGCATACAGAATGGCCGGCGTAGGCGACGGCAGAGGCACTCGCTGACTGCTGTCCATGTGGTGTATGGTCGTTGTGGGCTGTGGCTTCAGCAGCTGCGGCAATGCCTGCGGACTGTAGCTCGAATTGGAGGCAATCAGCGGATCAGCTTTATATAAGGGCGGGTCGAAAAGATTATTCTGCTGCGACAGCAGCTCCTCCTTGACGTGCACAGGCGAGGAGTGCTCGCTCTTAACATTTTGCTGCTGTTGCTGCTGTTGTTGTTGTTGTTGCGGTTGTTGTTGCACCCGCAGGGGAGGTGACTGCTGCGGCGCTTGTTGCATGTCCATTGCGCATTCGAGCAGTGGCGGCGATCCGAGATCCAAGTCCATTTCATTTAAAAAGTTATTAAGCATATCGGAGGGTATCATCTCCTTGATTATGTTAAGCGCATCCTCCTCCTCCTTCCACATATCCATTGCGCTGGAGATAAACTCCATGTCCAAAGATGCTGGATCAATGTCCATGATCTTTATTCTTTCAGCTGACGTGTTGTTTGAATGGATTTTCAGTTGACGCTGCTGATAAACAAAAACAAAACATAAATGCTCGACTGATATATACCCTGCTCACTATCAACATATGTGAATCTGCTTAAATAATTATTAATGCGGCGAGTACCAATTTTGGGTATGTCTATGACACCCTAGTTGCACATTTTTTGCTTACAGGGTATTTTATGCTGTAATCATTGTTTTGTTTATGAAATTTCAATTTCAAAGCGGCGCAATAACACACGCCGAAAACAAAAACAAATAAACACACACGCACACGAATGCGCGCACACACACACACACACTTGCAAGCGTGAAAAGCGCCTTTCGACCAATCAGAATGCGCGCGAGAATCATACGATGTGACGGCAACAGCGCCGATGTCACCGCCGCTTTCCAGTTAATTGACCAAGGGGCAATTAAAAAGCGTAAGCACATTGTAACTAACCGCATATGTTAACTATTTGCTAAAACTAGCAGTTCACCAATTTTATTGAGCAATTAAATAACCTACCTATCCGATAAGCACTATGTTGTTACTTCAAAACACTATTGTGGCTTATTGTTGGCCATAATTATAGCCACAAACACATATGTATTGCAGTTTACACACGCAAATACGTTTGCAAATCGGTTGCGCACATTATAGGTGTTTATATGTTCCTTGTTTTTAATCAATAAACAAATTGTTGAAAAGCTTTACGAAATAAACAGTCAATCAGAGTCACACTAATAAGCCCTTATAGCATTTATCGATCTATATCGATTAGAATGCGAATGAAAAGTGACCAGCTTTAAAAATACGAAAACACCTCATTTGGCGCTGCCACACGATCTATATATTTATCGATATGACAGAAGCAACTAAGTGTCAGAGCTAATAAAAAATTGTACAACACTAGCTATAGCTGCCATGTTTCACTTCCTGTGCTTGCGAACAAAATAGAATCGCCAAGAAAACCCTGCGAGTGAGTGTTTCAACATCACACTCGAAAATAACATCAAAGTGGTAGTTGAAAGAGTGCCACTACTCGAACCGCACTTATACCAACACCAACCAATAAATTGAAAGTAGCAGCCGAAAACTCAAGTCAAGAAAAAACAAAGTTGCGGCAACCACCAGCAGACGAAAGTTTTGCCGCACTCCGTCGACAAACAGCAGGAGAGGTTACTTTATTTATTCTTGCTTATATTTTTGGAAGCTCGAGTGTGTAGGTGTGTGTGCGCGTTTGAGGGAGAAGAACAACGAACGTAGCTAGAAAGATGGCAGACTCGGAAAAACAGCAGCAGCTACCCATTGAACAGCAGCAGCCGCTGGCCCAGGAAGAAGAGCAGGATGAGGGGCAGCAAGCGCAGGGCAAGCCCGCGCCGCCACCAAAGGAAATTATTGGTAAGCATACAAATCAATTCGCATTTTCATTCATGCAAACACATGGCGACTGCTACCAAAATAGCAATGAAAGGAACGGCGCGCTATATGTGAAAAATGTGCGTGTTTATACGTATGTGTGTGTGTGCGTGTCTTAAAATATACGCGCGACGCCATTTTGTATGCTGCATATACATACATACATATTCATACATTCGCCGGCTCGACTGCTGCCGCATGTGAAAAGCGGCGTAAGAACGAAATGAAAATTCTACTTTTTGCCGGTGGCACAGCCCACCCCCGCGGCCCCATCACGCGCCTGACCGAACAAATGCTGGCAACCCAATTTGTTAGCCGCCAACGTCGTTCCGGCTGTCAGCTCTCGCTCTCTTTCGGTGCGCGCACTCTCTCGCCTAAATGAGAGTGTGTTGTGTGCGTGCATAAGTGTATATACTATATAGTGTTTGTGTGTTTGTGTTCATTGTTTTGGTAACTTTATTTGTATACACTTTGGTTCGAGCACCCAGTAGAACTTTTTTGGTCCGTGAAATTAAGAGTGAATCTATTTAGTGATGTTTTTTAAAGTTCAATGGTATTAAGTTAATTTAACTTTTTCTTTCTTTAAAAAATCGATTCAACACAGATGTATATAAAATGTAATTTATCGATTAAATAATTGTGGTAACATTGTTTTGGATTCGTTTCTAACCTCACAACTGTGACTTCCTTCCACTTCCAGCCACTAAAGTCACCGGCACTGTTAAATGGTTCAACGTGAAGAGCGGCTACGGCTTCATCAATCGCAACGACACCAAAGAGGACGTCTTTGTGCACCAGAGTGCCATAGCGCGCAACAATCCTAAGAAGGCGGTGCGTTCGGTCGGCGATGGCGAGCTTGTTGAATTCGATGTGGTAATTGGCGAGAAGGGCAACGAAGCGGCCAATGTAACTGGGCCTTCTGGTGAGCCGGTGCGAGGCAGTCAGTTTGCTGCTGACAAGCGTCGCAACTTCCGACCATGGATGAAGAAGAATCGCCGTAAGCAACCAGGCGAGGGTGACAACGAAGGCGACGAACTGGCGCCGGCACAACAGCAGCAGCAACAGCAGCTCGATGGCCAGCAGCAGCAGCAGATGCAGTCGGGTCCACGTCAGCCACGTCAGAACTATCGTCGCGGACCCGGCGGCGGCCCTGGTGGTCCACCCGGTGGCCCACGCGGTGCTCCACGTGGCGGAGGCCCAGGCGGACCACCCGGTGGACCCGGACAACGTCGCTTTAACAACTACTATCCGCGCCAGACGCGCCGTGTGCTCGGAGGCGGCGATGGCAGCGCTGAACCAGGCGTTCATGATCCCAATTCAGATGGTGTTCAGCGGGGCGGCGATGGACAGCCGCGTCGTGGTGGCGGCGTTGGTGGACCCCAGCGACGCTTCTTCCGACGCAATGGACCACCGCCGCGTCGTGATGGTGGCGAGTACAGTAAGTTATCGCCTCATAAATTTGCCAAGTCATATGATAAAAAACAAATTCTCTTCCTTGTGTAGTTCAGGGCGGCCAAGGACCGCCGCGTCAGCCGTTCCGTCCACGTCGCCAGAATCGTAAACCCAATGGACCTGGCGGCGGCGGTATGGAGCAGCAGTCACAGCAGGTAATGAACTAAAAGCCAAACAAACAAAGAAACAAACAAACACCAACGATAACAACCACATCATCAACAACAACAACATCTTTAACAACAACAAATACTAGCAGCACTGCAAGAACAACAATAACAATAACAACAAGAACATGGCTTTCGGTGGCGGCAACTACAAACTAACGAAAAATGCATTAAAAAGTGCTCATTTAATTAACCATTAACAAACTCATACACTCACACACACATATATATAATTAGTTAACATAAGAGGCTTTGGTTCTTAACATTTCCTTTCAAGTGCATGTAACAGCGCGCCGCTGAATTAACGGTACACTTGTATCTGTACATAGATTTAACAGTGGGCTAACATCATGAGGCAACGAAATGTGTCTAAGTTAACATCATAACCATTTAATGCAAAGTTGCAAACAATTTTGATTTGATTTTAATTATTTTGTTTCTCTTTATTACAACTTATTATTATTTCAATGTCTGACATAATGCCCAACCCGCCCTTCCCCCAACCTCTCATAGAACGGCGCTCAAGAGCTGCAAAATACAACAACAGAAAGCACCGCATAAAGAAAACTGCAGTAACAACAAAAAAAAATAAATAAAAACAGTCAAACATCAGAAACTACAACAAAAAGAACAGCAAAAGCAAGCAGCAACTACTGCATTATACAGAAACAACAGCAACAAATGTGCAGTAGCATCAACAACAAGAAAAATCAACAAGCAGAAGATGGAGAAAAAGAATACATCCATCTATAAATTTGTAAATGGGCCGCCGCGTATTTTATGTTTTGTTTTCATCTGGGGCAAGCGACAGGAAAACCAAAATGTAAAATTTACAAACGATAAACCAAAAAATGCAAACAAAACACTTCAAATTCACTTCGAATGATATATTTGATAAAACATATTTATGTGTGTGCATGGCAGAAAGTGCATAAATTTCAAATTGTATTATAAAATCAGCAAACACTAACAATAAACATCATAAAAATGCATATATATTAGAGGCAGAACTGCATATATATAAATATATATATATATATATTTATACACATATTTATACAAAAGTAATTATTTGAACATTTATGAATTTGTAATTTTACATGAAAGTTTTGTTGTGCGTTTTTGCCAGCTTTCAATTTTAAGAGTTTCGTATCGAAGATGTTGACCTAAACCATATATTAAAAATAATTAATTCATTTATGCAACATACACACATACACTCATTGATAGGCCCTCAATGATACATCTAAAATACGTAAGCTCTCAATACTGAAAGTCAGATTTAATTGTAATAATTGATAGATTCAGATCAGGCGAAACTAATTAAATATGCCCCGCAAATGTACACGAACATCAAGCGAAAGCAGATGACAGAAACAATTTGTAATTCACAGCAAAGAAAAGTATATACAAAATGCAAAATGCAACAAAGAAAAACATTAAAAAAAAAACTAAAAAATATATTGGAAAAAATAAAAAAATTGAAAAATATTAAACGCATTTCATAATCTATAACGCACATAACATAAAATAATTTTTTCTTCATGTAGATAAGATTTAGTATAACTGTTGGCCTAATATAACTCAGGTAAACAAAACCAAAATTTCGATCCATTCAATATGCAATGTTTCATTAGTTAATTTCGAGATTTCGTAGCTAATATTAACGTTGTTGATAAGCGACCATCATTCGTATCTGTCTGATAACCGGCACTAATAGAATTGAAAACAATTCCAACCATGAACAAAAGTATTGCATTGCAAATGGTTAACAACTTTCACAGATCAAACTAAAAATTAATTACATTTTATTAAGGGATTATTTAAGGAGGGGATAAAAATTAATTTAATTCAATTAAACCTATTTAGACCATGTTAAGAATGGCTACTTCAAGCCTTATAAGCTGGTTGTCAACGATGTTACTGTTGATATGTTCAAGCGTTCCAAGCGTCCCAGAACTAGGAGCTCGTCAATCGAACGTTTCGCATAAAATTTCTGCTCTTCGCTTAATTTGAGGAACGCATGCGCCCAGGCGCGGGCGTAACTTTCAGCTTCGGATATCGCACTGGCGTCGATGTGAATGAGGCTTGAGGAATTCGGCCGGATTGTCTCCTTGACGAATTCCTGCGATACATCTTCAGTCACATGATCTATTTCAATGGCTTGCTCTTCGGTCAGTTCAGGTGACCAGGCTTCATCCTCGGAAAATAACTTCAGAAGCGGTCGCTCATTGGGTGCAAGTGATGTTTCTGGGGACTCAATATGCTCAATCTGTTGAAACGAAAACACGTAAGCTAAAGCAACACTCCAGATTGGCCTGCTCTGGCACTCACCTCTGAATGTGTAGCAGCTGGAATGTCCACTTCCTCATATTCTTCTTCCTCATCGCTGTATTCAACAGCCTTTGGATCGTTGAGCTCCTCGTACATTTGCATTTGCCTCTTGCTTGCCGTCACCGGCATCCTTTGCAATTTGCTGCTGCTGTGTTGTGTCTTTGGCGTTTCAGCAACTTTTCCGTGTTGTTTCAGATAACGAACATGGCACTTGTGTATGCGCAGATTAGATGTAGTGCCTCCAGTTGATTGCATTACTCGCTTGCAGCCCAAGCAATAGTATCTCCATTTTAACTTGGTGCCATCCGGACGAGCGATTTCTCGGTACACATTCCAAACGGAGCTGCGTTTGTTCTTTTTCACTAGCCGGTACTGGCCGTCATGGATTTTAAGTAATATATCTAGTTGGGATTCGGTGCATTTTGCCTCCTCTTCCTGAACATTTATAATAAACATTGCTTGTTTTACAGGCTTTGCCATTGCGTGCGAATCAGTGTGGCTGTTACTGGCTATCGCAAAAATACGCAAAGCCAAAAAAAAATACTAAAATACCAGAAGAAAATGTGGGTTGGCGCGGACGTGGAAAAATGCGTTAAATAGCCCAACTCTACAATCGCAAACATTTGAGGTATTTATATTTTATATTTATGCTATAATTAAAAGCTTAGATTAAAAAAATAAAACAATATTATATAAATTATGATAATACAGCTTTCGAGGCAGTCATTGCATTTATTAGATAGACGTTGTACAGAACTTAAAAATATATTCTAGCAAACCAACAATATAAATACTTTTATCAATGTTCGATTTTTATTATACTATTTTGCATTTCTAAGCAGCTCAGTTAACGTTTGACCGATCGATGTTAGTTCTCTGGATATATGCTTCATGACCTGTAGTTTTTGTTTTTCGACAGCCAACTTCTGTTCTTCAATTTGCAGCATTCGATCTGTTGGCTCTCCTCTTGGTGTATTATAAAAATCATCCCTGTGCGATCTTGGTAATACCGTTGGGGTCTGTTCTACAGTTTTATCTACGCGTTCTTCTTCCCCTGGTACTTGCTCAGGTTCTGCAGCTGGTGTTGTCTCCTGTTCCGGCTCCTTGTCCTCTGACATATTGTTGGCTTCGGTCTCCGCGTCGCTGCTGTCCGCATTGAAAAATGTTGAAGACTCTGAGTTTGGAAGTTTAAATAATGAATGAATGCCAAAGGTGCGTCCGACTTTACTTATTACCTGTATTATCAAAAATGATTTCTTCAAAATCAACAGACGGCGTTCCAACTAACAGAGCTTGAACTCTCTTAAAATACCGCCAATTGGTTGGTTTTCCAGCCTTAATCTTTTTCATTTCCAACCTAAAATGAAGAAGCAATGTTGCAGTTATGGTAAGCTACTTTACACAAACATATGTTAACCTGTATTTTCTAGACATGTTGTCCATTTTTGTTTTAATTTCCCGGTGAGTTGGTCCATATTCGCTCATTTCCTCAGCCATTTCTTTGTGTATGTGGGATTTTTTTAGCGGCCCTCGTATGTCCTTTAAGTGCTTTTCCCATAAGTCCAGGAATATATTGGTTGATTTTGGCGACCATTCAAACCGACTGAGAGTATCTAACCTAGGGCATGCAACTATGGCCTCATCTTCCAGAAATAAATTACGTTCTTCTTCTTGCAGTGAGGCTGTGTCTTCATCTTCCTCTTCAGAGGAAAGAGGAATATTTTTGTATATTAATTGCCGCTTGTCATGCAACGCTTCCTGTACTGTTGTACTGTGAAGTGCTGAAGCGCTCTTTTTAGGTGAACAAGAATCTTCGGAAAACAGCTGGAGCAGCGGGCGCACCGTGGAATTAATCGACTGGAATGCGCGTACCTGATTGTCGGCTTGATCCCGCTGTAAGGACAAAGTGTTAGTTTTTAATTTCTTTGCATTGGAAGTGGGAGCATGCCTCTGGTTCTGTCAGATATTCAATATCACTCAACGGGGACAGGTCGTCTTCCTGATATTCGTGTTGAGGCGACAAGTTCCGCGTCGCTCTACCTCTTAACTTTGTTTGGATGAATCGTTTGTTGGACTGCTTTTGGGATGTCGATAAGCCGGCTTTGCCTATAATTTTTTGTTTCCTATTGTTGTTGATGACCCGATAGCGTTGGACGGTCTGCTGCCCATTGTTGGATCTCATTATGCCGAGGAAATAAATATTATTTTTGTTTGTTGAATTTACTGCAAGCCCGCAGCTGCTGGTTTTAGTTTGGTTCTTTACAACACATATGTATGTCGTTTGAAGCACTTTCGATAACATTTCGATAAAATTCATTTGTCTGAAAACGGCAAATACTGGTTCTGATTCGATAAACAGCATATGGCGCGTTATTGAATTTAAAAAATGCTTTGATCATGCATAGTATTTATTCGCGTTCTTTTCAATTCATAACTTTAAAATTTTGTCGTATTCTATCTTAAATTAAGTCACACAACTCTTTAAATGATTTTTACTTTTGTAAGTAGGGCAAGACAAGTAACTACATACATAGATTGTTTAGTTGATCTAAATAAATTACTGACATCTTCAATTGTCATCGAGTCTATGAAGATTCGCACGCATTTCAGCTAATCAGCTACATTTGGCGATGGCTGGAAAAGAGGAACACAAGGAAAAACGGACGACAACAATCAACGACAATTGCGCTACGATTATGTCTAATGGGTAGCTGTGCCATCTTTTAGTGAATTGAACAGCTGAACCCCAAGGCCTGTGTTTGTTTCACCAGCACCAACAGCTTCAGCTTCAGCTTGAAGCGCTGTCTGACCGAGAACTGACAGCGACTTGCAGGCCGTCGTCAGTCAGCCTAATTGTGCATTGCCTGTGGAAGCACCCTGCAACCGGTTTTGCAAGAGCATCTGAGCTGTGGCCCTGCTTTTGTCCCCCTTGATTTTGGCCGGCTGAAAAAGGTATGGCTCGTGCTTGGTTGGGCTCTGTGCACGCAGCTGCTTTTGGCCCAAAACTTAGCACTTAAATTGTCACTTAATCGAAAAATTAAACTTTATTGGAGGCCACAGGTGCTGAATTTTATGGCACGTGGCTGATTTGATATAAACCAGCTGCTGCTGTTGTTTGGTACAATTGGTGGCATGCCACAAAATAAATTTGTACAAGCCTGGATGCGCTCGCTGCAGCTATTCACAATGCTCCACACAGACTTAATTGTTTCTTGCGGTTGTTGGCAGTTTTTTTTCTTTGTGACCGTTCGTTTTGCTGTTGTCTCAGCCACATTAGTTAAGGGGGGGCATGTGGAAGACAACAGCCGCCACGACCATGACTTTGTGCAACTGGCGACATCGAAATGTTGCGGCAACTGGCAACTGGCAATTTGATTATGGCCCATGCATTGGCATCATTATGGCGCTGGCGAGACCTTATTTGTTTGGCGCATAATTTAAGTTAAAGCCTCGTACAAATGTCGCGTCATTGTTGCAATGATGGTTGTTGCCTACGCGCTTGCATGCAGCATGTTGATGATGGCCGTGCCCCGGCCAGGCTTGGCTTTGACTGCAACCTCTGCTGCCTGCCTGCTGGCGCTTGATTGCAGGTTGTCATGAGCAGGCTGAGCTCAGCCAAAGCTCCGCTTGGCCTGCCGCCTGTCGCTGCTGACATGTT